GGAGTTTTTCCTTGCCACTGTCGCCAAGTCTTGCTCACTGGGGGCGTGGACCCGGATTCTTTGTAAAGCTGCTTTGTGACAGCATCTGTTGTAAAAGGTGCTATATAAATAAATTTGACTTGACTTGACTTGACTTGACATGTCCCAGTAGATGGGAAAGAGGACAAGCTTGGGAAGCTATAAAATGGTACACACATGGATTGAGGCACTCCAGACAGTGAGGTTCACTGGTGTCAATAATGAGAAGACACAAGAGGGTTAGGGAATGGAGAAGGTTCTTGTCTTGAGGGTCTGCAGATTGAGGTTACAGGAGATGTAGAGCATCAGGCCATGGCAGGTGGAATTCAAAGGTGCAAATTGGGCAGATTTATGGAGCCAGTGGAGGGGTATTGCAAAGAGCTTGGATACTCCATGGGTGCAGGAATGAGTGGAGGGAACATGATGAGTCAAGCACTAATAAGAGAGGCAGCCAGGGACAAACGGTGGTGGCGTCATGTGAGAAATGACAGAGCCATCCCAGAGGTGGTACAAGAGAAGGTTCCATGAGTGTGGACCAGAGAGGACTGGAAGATGCATGTAGAGTCAGATATCGGTGGATAGGATGCCAGGGTAGAGACAGCATTGAAGATGCAGCAAGTGATGAGGCTAGCAATTGAACCATTTTGCAACATTAATAAATGTAATGTCATCATACTAGTAATGATGTCACGCATTCTCCAAGTGCCTCGTTGAATTCAGACTCAATCTCCCAGAATCCTCTGGGAGATCACATAACTTCAAAACACACCGACAAACAACGAGAGTCATCCGGACTCAAACTCCCAGAAATCTCCAGGAGGTCACCTGACTCATCACATGACTGAGTGCTCCCATCTTTGCTCTCGCTCTCCCGAATACTTACTAATGTCACTTGTGTTATTGATCTTATGACAAAACTAGTTTAGCATATAAGCCCGGGCTTTAGAATAGGGAAGTTGTGAGGTATTGCATCCATTCCTGTGATCTACTGAGCGTTTACTTCTTTGTATGTATATCGGGTATGACCTTTGCCTTTGCCTTTTTGCCTTTTTGCCTAGCCCTTCGGATTGTTTGCCTGATTTGGGATTTTGGACTTTGACCCTCTGCCTGTGTTTTTGACCATGCTTTTGCCTTTCTCTTTTCGGACAGTTTGCCTTGTGTTATGTTTGTGATTTTTTCTCTCATTTGTTTTCTGGACACGGCATGTTACAGAATACCTCGTCTGCAGAAGGCAGACTCGGAGGCGTTTCAGAAAGCTTTGACTGAGCAAGGACAACTCCTGGGAAGGCACCAACAGGTATTGTCGGGAGTTACGCAATCCCTGGAGTCTTTAACACATCAACAAGCTGAGCAGCAGGCTCAGTTAGTACAACTGGTAGCAAGTGTAAAAGGACTAACCACTCAGCATCAGAACATGAGACTAGCCGAGACAGAGGTAAATGTTACTAGCCCTCGAGCTAGCGCAGAAGCTACAACTGCCATTTTTCTTGTTAGCAAACCAGATAAATATGATGGTGACCCAGACAAATGCTGTGGTTTTTTACTACAGTGTGCCATTTACTTCAAGAATTCCCCAAACAGCTCAGATCAAGCCAAAATCTCGTTCATTATCTCTCATTTGACTGATAAAGCTCTGGAATGGGCGACTGCTAGCTGGGGTCATATTAACCGTCTATCATACTCTCAAAGAATTCAAAACAGTGTTTAACCATCAGTATGAGGGCAAAGTCAGTGGGGAATTACTTGTCAAGTTACGTCAGAGGACTCGTTCTGTGGTAGATTATTCTCTCAAATTTCGCACATTAGCTGCTAGCAGTGGATGTTATGAGGCAGCGCTCTTGATTATGTTTCGACAAGGACTGAACCCAGATATATTAACAGAGCTAGCCTGTAAAGATGATAATCTAAATCTGCATCAGCTCATCACTCTGGCCAGATGTCTGGATCATCCCCTGCACCAACGCAACAAGCCAAAGACAGAAAGAAATCTCAAAAGACTAGTCAACAGGGTGAGAATGATGTCCGAGCAAGGGGAAACATCTGAACCCATGCAATGTGATTCCTCCCGGAATTCTAAATAATACTAGGTTTGCCCTGGTTAGAGAAACATAACCCTTCCATATCCTGGTCTGATCACATGATCCTCAGGTGGTCTGAATATTGTTTTCAGTCTTGTATCACCCAGCCGTCATTAACTGCATGCTCCACATCTATCGAAAGCCTGAATGCTGATCTCATAGTTCAGATCCCAGCCGATTATTTAGGTTTAAAAGAGGCCTTCAGTAAGCAAAATGCCACCAAACTACCACCACACAGAGAAGGTGATTGTGCCATAGAACTAGTAAACAACCCCACCATTCCCAAAACTAGAATTTACCCACTGACACAAAAAGAAGAGAAAGCTATGGACACATACATACAGGAGCACTAAAACAAGGATTCATTAGACCCTCGACTTCTCCCATTGCGTCTAGCTTCTTCTTCTTGAAGAAGAAGGATGGGGCTTTGCGCCCATGCATTGATTACAGGGCCCTCAATCAGATTACCAAGAATTACCCCATCCTCTTCGGTTAGTCCTGGTGGCCTTAGAACAACTCAAGGGAGCCAGATATTTCACCAAATTAGACTATAAGAGTGCACATAAATAGGATCAAGGAAGGGGACGAGTGGAAGACTGCATTTGTGACCACTAGGGGGCACTATGAATATTTGGTGATGCCTTTTGGGCTTTCTATCGCCCTCTTTGTCTTTCAAGCATTCATCAATGAGGTCCTTGGGGACATGTTAGGTAAATATGTTATTGCATACTTGGACGACATCCTGGTATACTCGCCTGATAAAAACACACATGTAGAACAGTCTTGAAACGATTGCTGGATAACAATTTGTTTTTGAAGGAAGAAAAATGTGAATTTCATCTCGAATCTGCTTCCTTTTTAGGGTATGTTATCAGTGCACAAGGAGTCATTATGGATGACAAAAAGGTAAATGCAGTTCTTCAGTGGCCCGCTCCATCCTCCGTGAAGGAATTGCAGAGGTTTTTAGGGTTTGCTAATTTCTACCGTTGGTTCATTCAAAATTTTAGCACTATAGCAGCCCCTCTTACGTTCCTACTCAAAGGTGGTCCCAAGAAGTTACAGTGGACAGAACAAGCAGAGGTCACATTTCAGACCTTAAAGGAAGCTTTTACAAATGCTCCATTCTCAAACACCCAGATCCATCTGAACCCTTCACAGTAGAAGAAGATGCCTCTGAGACAGGGATAGGGGCTGTATTGTCCCAGCACACAGGGAATCCTCCTAAATTACATCCAGTAGCTTTTTATTCACATAAACTCTTGCCTGCCGAACGAAATTACGGGATAGGAGAAAGGGAGCTACTGGCTGTAAAACTAGCCTTAGAAGAATGTCAACATTGGCTTGAGGGGTCAAATCATCCCTCTTTGGTGCTGACAGATCACAAAAATTTAGAATATATACGTAATGCTAGACGTATAAATGCACGCCAAGCCCGGTGGTCCCTTTTTTTCTCCTGTTTTCATTTTAACATTACCTACAGACCAGGCTCTAGAAACACTAAAGCAGACGCTCTCTCTCGTATTTATCAAGATGACCAGACAGTTCCCGAACCAGCTACCTGCATTCTTCCTGAGGTGTGTCAATCTCATCCATTAGATGGGAAATAGATGAAGCCATTAATAGGGAGCTAGGCAACGTAGCCATTCCCAGTCACTGCCCTCCTGACAAAACCTATGTACCCAGTTCTTTCCACACACAGCTTATCACTTGGGCCCATTCGTCTATCACCTCTGGCCACCCAGGAGAGACCAGGACATGCCAGTTGTTATCACACAAATATTGGTGGGAGTCTATGCAGAAGGACATACATACTTTTGTAGTTTCCTGCTCTACATGCTCACAATGTAAGACATCCAAATCCTTGCCCACTGGTAAATTAGTCCCCTTACCAGTACCTGATCGCCCTTGGTCACATCTGGCCATAGACTTTGTAACAGACTTACCAGAATCACAAGACTACACTACCATACTCACTATTATTGATCGTTCTTCTTCGTTCTTTCGTTTGTTCGGGATACCTGAGGACATTGTGTCAGACCAGGGACCGCAGTTTACCTCTCAGGTTTGGTCTGCTTTCTTTGAGAGTATTGGAGTATCAATTAGCCTCACCTCAGGGAATCATCCTCAAGCTAATGGTCAGTGTGAGGATGAATCAGGAACTGGGTAAATTCCTACGTATCTTTTGTCACGAGAATCCCTCAGACTGGTCCTGATATCTGGCCTCAGCCGAGATCGCACAAAATTCCCTCAAGTTCTGCAACAGGTTTGACTCCTTTCCAGTACATTCTGGGATATCAACCCCACATAGCCGCTTGGACCGGGGCTTCCTCTGATGTTCCAGCCGTCAATTCCTGGATGCGGAGAAGTGAACAAGTGTGGGAGCAGACACATCAGAGGATTGAACAGGTACTGCGACGGAACAAGGAACAAGCTGACCGTTACAGGAATGAGACTCCGGGCTACCAGCCCAGGGACAGAGTTTGGTTGGCTACTAAGGACTTCTGAAACATGGAGGAAAGTAGGGAGCTTCTACCCAAATACATAGGTCCTTTCAAAGTAGTTAAAAGAATCAATGAGGTCACTTATAGTTTAGACTTACCCCCTCGATATAAAGTTTCACGTTCGTTTCATGTATCTTTGCTTAAACCTGTTGTTGCAGGGCCTTTGGACGAGGCTTCTCCGGACGTCACGCCACCCCCCGCCAGACGTGATAGAAAGGGAACTAGTTTACGCTGTCCGTAGGCTGCTGGACTCCCGGAGATGAGGGGGGGCTTCTTCAGTACCTGGTAGACTGGGAGGGATATGGCTCGGAGGAGCAGTGCTGGGTACCTGCAAGGGACATCCAGGATCCTGCCTTCATAGAGGAATTTCACAGTCGTCACCCAGACAAGCCTGCTCCTCGTCCTAGGCCGCGCGAGAAAGGGTCTCTCCAGCTCGCTCCCAGCTCGTCTGAGGGGTCTGCGTAAGCAGAGCCCTTCTGTTCAGCGCCTCGGCAGCTCTGGGTATGCCCCTGTTCGGAAGTCCGGCGGTGGACGTGGTGGTCATCCTGGTTGACCTCGTTCCGAGGCTACCCAGGACTCTTTGGGGGGGATACTGTCACGCATTCTCCAAGTGGGAGATCACATGACTTTAAAACAGCCGACAAACATTGAGAGTTATCCGGACTCAAACTCCCAGTACTCTCCGGGAGGCCTGACTCATCTCATTACGGAGCGCTCCTATCTGTGCTCTCACTGTCCCAAATACTAACTAATGTCACCTGTGTTCTTGATCATATGACGAAACTAGTTTAGTATATGAGCACGGGCTTTAGAATAGGGAAGTTGCGAGGTATTGCATCCATTCCTGTGATCTACTGAGCGTTTACTTCTTTGTATGTATATCGTGTATGACCTTTGCCTTTGTTCTGTGACTTTGCCTTTTAGCCTAGCCCTTCAGATTGTTTGCCTGATTTGGGATTTTGGACTTTGACCCTCTGCCTGTGTTTTTGACCATGTTTTTGCCTTTCCCTTTAGGGACAGTTTGCCTTGTGTCATGTTTGTGATTTTGTCTCTGATCTGTTTTCTGAAATTGACCCATGTATGTTTTATGACCACGACCTTGGACTGTGAAGATCCCAGTAAAGTCTACTTTGTATTTTATCTCTGGAAGTGTCTGAATCTGTTCGGCATGTTACAAATGAACTACACTGCCTGTTACCATTGCCTAAAAACTATATAAACTGACAGTTAAAAGAGAAGTTAGACAACCACCTGTGGGGTTGTCTGTAATACTGTTCTCTTATCTAGAATTTGGATAAGATTATGAACTTAAGAATGGTGATTCTGTAATAGCTACTGTCCTACATCGAGTCTTCCCCGAAGTTGTCATGGTGACCAAACAGATAAGATTTCAGAATTAAGATGTTTCTGTGATATGGCCCCAGGCCTGCATGTTGTTGCATGCTGGCTATTTATCATAAAAACCTCTGGGAAACGCTAAATTTCCTAGATTATAGTTAGTTTGGGTACTAGATTTCTAGATTATAGTTAGTTTGGTTACTGATTCACAAACATTAAATTTTATGCAGAGGTAGTACTTGTTTCATTTACTCAAGTACATGTATTTAAGAAAATATTCATAGATTTGTGCTTTAGCCATATATATTAAGTTTCTAAATTCTTTTGCATTTAATTATGTTTTGTTGGTAGCTGCATCTTTACTGCCTTGATACTGGTCACATCTCTAACCTTAGAGCTTTAGCATTTTATTCTAGATCCAGAAAAGAGAAGCATAGAGATTAACAATCTTCAGTTTCTAGGCTGAGAGATGCTGGATGTTCTAAGAAGTTCCACTCTAGTGTTATGAGTTACTCAGTACTTAGGTGGTGAAGTACTGATATGTCTGTACTTCTATACTTCAAGTTATTTTTAAAAAAGACATTTTTATGTATATGTGATACTTTATTTTACCCAAGAACGTAGTAGTTTAGGTTTAGCCTACTCTACCCACCTCTGCCTATGTATGTGAGTACATGTCCCTATCAATACAAACTAAGCTGCAGGGTTTAAAAGCTTTGCAAACCCACTTAACCTATTTAATGATATTATGCCTACAAATAGCCTATGTAAAATACATGAAACCACTCCTTAGGTTAGTTTATCATTTTGGAGACTTTAGGCCTACATTATTGATGAGGAATGTTATTTATTGTAGCTGAAAAGGCTGTTGTCATCGGACAGTGCCCCCTATCTAAATCCTGAACCCTCAAGTTTTGTTGCTATTAACAACAATACACTGTCGCTGTTGGAACAAAACCTTGCCTCAGATTTTGTTATTTTTCATTTTTTAAACTAAACTGGTAAATACCAGTTTCTTTTCACATTGTGTGAAAATGTTATGATGAATAGGTCAATAAAAACATTTTCTTTACATTGACTTACTAATGTAGACACACACACACACACACACACACACACACAGAGACACACACATACACACACGCACACAAACATTTTCTGAAACCGCTTATCCTTCTGGGTTGCTGGAGTCTATCCCAGCAGTCAACGGGTGGAAGGCCTTACTAAAGTAAGTATACTAATTTTAAAATGAATTACCTCCCTGACTAATGTAAATGAAGCTATTTGTTTATAGTTATTTTTATATAATTTGTATATTTTTATATTATTTAGATAAAGTCAGCTCACAAATTTATAGTATTTTTGGTTAACATTAACTACTGGAAATAAAATAATCTTTGATTATAAAGTCTTTTACATAATGTAATGGCAACAACCTTAGTTAGGGACTCCTGAATCCAGAAATGAAGGTCAGTGGCTTAGCAGGGGTCATTAACATGGAACACAGCTTTGCCTTCATAAGGGAAAGCAAAAATAAAAAAAAATAAAAATAAAAAAAATAAACTATTTATGCATATAGGGACTTCACTATTTCTTCACAATTGAATAAAGTATTTTAATGTTGGGTAAAGTGAGTTTTGGTGCTTGATGCCTTGTGATGTACATAAGACTGCAGGGTTTGTTGCAAGAAGGCTCAAATGTATTAGGTATATAAGCCATAGCTGTTTAAATAATAAGAGATGTGTAAAATGTTGGATGGATATTAATATAATTATTATCATTATAAATAATACTGATCTCCACATGTTCCTCTTCTACCCCTTTCATTTGCAAATGTTATATGTTTTGGACCTTTTAAATTCACATCATTTAATTATGCTTAGGCAGAACCTATTACATTTTGCCTCTTGAATGTAGGGCACTTGAATTACCAGAGTATATTTTTTTGTTCTTTTCTTTTTTTTTGTAGATTCAGACCTGCAGGACCAGATTTAGATACAGTAGATTCTACACAGTTCATCTTCAAGCACACATTAGGTCTAGATTAGTGTTAAAAAAATGGAAAGAAAAACAAATTAACATATATCATCAAGTCACTGTGATCAATACACATCGCATCTGTTTCTGCTTCTTTAACAGTAGCCACTGCATCAAGCTCTGTTTCCATATTTCTTAGTCAAATTATGAACAAATCTGTCATACAGTCATATACAAGGGGTGGGCGGCCCTTGTCAAATGACATTTTGTTGATTGTCTAAGTGAAAATGAGTTCACTTATCCTCTACAGAGAGAGAAAACTTTTGCACATTTTAATGCACAATTGTTGATTACTTGCTAAATTTTAAAGTCAGCTAATAAATAGATACTCTGAACTAAAGAAAACTCATGCAGAAAATCAACAAAATGTTGGACATTAGATGTGCAAAATTTTGTACATGACTGTACATTTTATAAATACACTGGGATGCAGACAACCTACAAGAAAAAGGTGCATTTAATACCAAGAGTAAAGATGGTCAAAACTAGCTTTCATTATAAAACTAACAAATTAACAAAGCTGATTATCTACTCAAAGATTTACTTTTACACAGACATCACAGCAAGCTCACTTGATTCCTTTGTAATTTTCTTATCAAAATCTTTTTCACCTCTTGTGTCCTCAAACAGTAGATTAGTGGGTTGATCACAGGAGGCAGCAAGCTATACAATGTGACAATAGCTATTTGTAAATCAGGATTTAAAGTGATACCAATTTGGGCACTCAAATAATAAAAACACCTGGGTATGAAGTATAGAGCAATTATGATGAGTTGAGAAGTACAAGTAGAGAAAGTCTTCAGTCGCCCACCAGCACTCGAGACTTTTAGGACTTCTACAATAATGCAGCAATAGGAGAAGACAATAATGGCAAGAGATCCCAGCAATACTAGCATGGCAAAAACAAAAGCTGGAAAACTATATGGAGTTCTGTCAGTGCACGCAAGTCGTGTAATGAGACGTGGTCACAGTAGCAGTGCAAAATGGTGTTGGCTCCACAATAAGGGAGAGGGTAAGCTCGAATGGCCATCATAAGGGGGCCGGACTGAGCCATAACCCAGGCCACCAGGCTCAGAATGAATACATTTCTGTTTGTCATAACATTGTGATACTGAAGTGGGTAACAAACTGCTACATATCGGTCTATGGCCATTAGTGCCAGTATGTATGAATTGACTGTGCCAAAGTAATGCACTAAATACATCTGAATAAAACAACCTAAAAATGAAATGGTCCCAGCTTGGAACCAGTATCTGGCAATGATCTTTGGTAAAGTGCTTGTGCTGAACAGTACGTCAGAAATGACTAGACTTATAAAGAAATAATATACAGGTTTATGGAGACTTTTTTCTGTTGCAAACAAACAAAGAAATATTCCGTTCCCTGTCAAAGTGCACACATAAACAAATAACATAGCTGCTGATACAAGTCCATAGTAGTTAGGGTGAAGTCCAGGAAAGCCAACAATGAAAAAGTGCTTCACAAGTGTTACGTTTCCCATCGACATCATGGGTTGATGTCCTTAAATTGCAAAAATGAAATGAACACTACAAATATTATGGAATATAATGGACACTGTGCATTGTGATATGTAATATATTATTATTTCAGATTGTCTTTACATTACTTATGGATTGTAATATTACTATTACATGTAATCCATAAAATTAACAAAACAAAAGACAATGTGTTCCCTCCTTACCCAGATTACAGAGTGCTGTGAACTGGCATAGCACATCAGGAACTGGTGTGTTTATGCATTTGGAAATATTTATAATTTTTTAGATGCAGATCTCACATGACCAGGACGTGAGGGGACTCAAGTAATTTTATACAGTAGCTCCAGAGACTTATGTAAGGACTAATAGGACTACAGTTACTGGATGAGAAATTTCACCTTGTCTATGGACCTCGTATGTGAATAGCCAGTTAGAGTTTTGGCTTTGCTCATGAACCTATTTTTCAATCCTGCTTCAAATCATTAGGACATCTGTGTATACATATGTCTATGTTCTGTAGGAAAAGAACAGAGGGAAATTCATATTGGGCACTCTTCTTTTTCTGGCTTATGCTGTCTGGCTAACTGAGAAATTCAGATTTGTGAAATATATTGTTCATAAATTAACAGTGCGAAATCATAAAGAATACATTAAAATAAGACATGCAAATTCTCTACTGGTTCAATATAATCATTATGCCTGTTCTATTTGAGCTCTGCAAATATTGTAATATTTACAGAGTTTATATAATGTATGTTTAGATTAACAACTAACATAATTAGGAAGTGGAATCAAACACTAATCATGTGTTTATTTCTAAAAATCCAGGTCTTCTGGATCCTCTCACAGATGCAGAAATGAGCGTTATCAGAAAGGTGTTTTATACCTTTCTTTTTAAAGAGTTGCGACATTTATGGTAAAATGAAGGCCTTATTCTGGTTTGCCACATGTACTAAATAAATGGGTTCATATAATGTTGTTCAGTTTTGTGTTTAATTCTGTTGAGTATTCATTACGTATTGGATTGTCACTGCGTTATGTTGTTGAAGTAAGAATTCCATTGCAGTTTGTCCAAATGATAACAAAGAGCTTTGACTTCTGACTTAGCTTTGATTTGATGGACAACATAAGACCCTGATTGGCTTCTGATTGGTGCAAATGTCCCCTTTTCACATGGTCTCACAAGTAATATAATGTGTACAATGTAGAAATATATTGTCATTGCATTTTTAACTGTACATAAGGAATATTTTGTTTCTACACAATGCAAAAACATCCTGAATGGATAAAAAGGTGAAATTTATGTCCTTTGTGCCCTTTATGTCCACATAAATCTTGCACGTATAGTAGACATATGCACGTTTTAACTTACAAACTGAAGAAATGTTGATCTGGCTAAAGCACCTGGCACTCTATTAGTGGCTGCTGTGTCTGATCCACTGTTAATGCATTGTCAGTCCACTGCTAAGAATGATCCACCACCCAAACAATATCTGCTCAGTGGTGGGTCTTGACCATTGTAGAACAAGGTTAAGGGGGGCTAATATTATTCAGAGAATCATGGATTATAACTACATCTGTTTACTTTACAGGACCAGATTTAAAAACAGTTAATCACATTTATCAAATGAGTTTCATGTTTTGATGACTTTAAGTTCTCAACAGTACAAGGACAACATATTTACTGTTTCCAGTAATTTTATTGTTTTTCTTTTTTTCATGTGCTTATTCTAATTTTGATGCATCCAACATGAAAAAAAAATCTAATTTTATTTCCATTTTTTCATTTTTTGACATGATTTTGAGAAAAGCAGCTGCCCTTTACATTGTATAAAATTTCATGGCAAATGGGCCAATAGAAATGCTCCAAAACAGCTTGGAATAAAAACTGAAAGGGTTCCTCTGTGGTGAGATGCAATGGTGACCCAGGGGAGAAGAAGTGGACGTGGTTAGCTGAGCTGTTGCAGAGGAGAAACCTGAGAAGAAAAAATGTCTGGAAGTATGGTGAAGCATCGGATGTGGGACGATGAGAGATGGAGCCAGCAAGCAGGAAGGCTGAGGCAGATCAAACAAGATAGGGCAGGAGATGGAGGAGAGCTGCTGTGATAAAATCTGAAAGCCATAGCTAATGGGGGTTGACATTTAGGAATGGAGAATGCTAGAAGGACAATGGTGAAATCCAATCAAGTGTGGGACCAGTCCCACACTTTGTGAGTGGCAAAGTTCACTTATCAGGAGGGGCTGTATGATGCTTTAGAATGTAATGATGTAGCTCCAGATTCTGGTAGCACCAGTAAGAGTGGGTGGAGGCAATCTGTAGCTGAAAGCTGGGCTGAACGATGGCTTGCCTATGTGATGATGCCTATTGGCCAAAGAGACCATCATATTCACTGTTTTTGGGTGGAGGCATAATGTGCCAGGGTGTGGTAGTATCTGGAGTTCCATGTGTAATCTGACTTTGCAGGTTTGGAATGTTTAAGTTAGGGGGCCCCTGGTCCAAAGGTCCAAGGGTCAAGGTCCCATAGGGAATGGACCTCTTTCTCTTCCTCTCCCTTCCTCTCTTAGTTCCAGATGGATGAGATCATTTTAAAAAGGACCATATGTTCTGTTTCCTTTTTCGACAACAACCACCCTATATAAGCAGAAGGTTATACTGTTCTGGAGGGGACACTTCAGAATTGGCATGGATCCCCCCCAAGTACTTTATGGTGCTTGATATGATACTGTTTTACTTTGTAATAAACATCTCATACAAGCAAGACGGTGTCTGCGGAGACTTCTTCATCATCTTTACATCATCACTATTTAATAAACAACACTGTCATTTAGTAGTGCCAGAGGTCATGAATCATGGCCACAGCATCGTAGTGTGTTTTTGTATGATTTAGTGATTTAGGTAAGTTCACAGCATAAAACAGATAAACTGACATGGCAAACTAGTAAGCAAAAGGTGTAACATAAGAAGGTCATCCTATTAAATAGATGTGAGGCATGGTATGGGACAGACTAGAATTTCAGCTATATGCTAGAGAGTAAAGCGGTAGATAAACATGAGGAAAGAGGCAAAAAAGAAAGCAACATAAAGGAGGAAAAAGAACAAGAGAGTGGAGAAACAGTGGCCTATATCGCCAATTGGAATAGCTGTTGATGAGATGATGTCATGTAGAATGCGCATTGGTAAGGTGATGCCATTGTGATGATGTCATTGTGTAGGGCATGCATCAACACAGTGGTGCCTTCATATGGTTTACAAACCCACATGAGCACTGAGCAGTGGCTGCAGGGAGCAAGACTTGTTTATCTCTCGTATAGCTGAGACAAAGTGGAATGATTCAGTCCAGGTGAAGCGATTTATCCCACAAAATGCACTGGTGCTTTGTGTTTGGTCGCAGTTAGGTCAGGGGTGCCGTGAGGACAAGGCTTGCAGGTGCGAGGGAAAGAGTTTATTTATAGAACAACATCTATAGAACCTCTTATTAATTTAGCAACTCCAGCCTTTTTGATCATCCATTTAGCTTACTATAAGTGTTTTCTTGACAAAACCTTATTACATAAGTTAAACAACCATTTGCTGTATAACAGAAACTTCCTATTTTTTTGTCATAAGATCTGACAGGTCAAAATAAGATTTTTTTACAAATTCATATTACAGAAGCAAATCTTATCTTAATATAGATGTATCTAACAGTTTGTTATCTCGAGTCGGGAAATCTTAACCTATGCAACTGAAATTGGTAATCAACTGTTATGTTTGTTAACAAGCAACTGATAATCTGTGCACAGCTGCAACATACACCTAATCAAAATGATGTTCGAATTGTAAGTTACATGTAACAAAGATAAAAACAAAAGTGAAGTGCAGTAAGAGATTATTAATATTAGTTTCAGCTTCCATTTCTCAAACACTTCAGCCGGCCAGACAAACCATCACCATCACTGCCATGTTTAATCTGATGAGTGTTTATTAATATTAACGCATAAGATGGGATGGTGGAGGTCAAGCCTGCAGTGTCTGGGTTTTTTGCAATGCAGAGTTAGTAAAGAATGAATGATTATGTACCAAAATCATTACAACTCGCAGTCGTTAAACCCCTACTTAAAAAGCAAGATCTTGATCCCAATGAACTTGCCAACTATAGACCAATTTCCAATCTCCCTTTCATTGCTAAAATCTTAGAAAAAGTGGTCTCACATCAACTGTGCTCCAATCTACAAGAAAACTCTCTCCATGAGATGTTTAAGTCTGGCTTTAGACCCTTTTACAGTACTGAAACAACATTAAATAGAGTAGTAAATGATCTCCTTGTGTCTCTCGATAGTGTCCATATTTGCATACTAGTCCTTCTAGATCTCAGTGCATCATTCGATGCTATTGACCACAAGATCCTCCTTGATAGGCTGGAAAACCTGGTTGGTATCAAAGGACAGGCTATCTGACAGACCGTTATCAATTTGTCAGTGTTAACAATAAACACTCTGATTGTACAATATGGTGTCCCCCAAGGATCTGTTCTCGGGCCGCTGCTTTTCACTCTGTACATGCAACTTGGTAACATATTTCACAGGGTCTGCATTAGTTTTGACTGCTACGTGGATGACACACAACTTTACATATCTGCTAATCCAAATGAGGCTCTGAATGTAAATTATCCTGAAGAATGTGTTAAAAATATCAAAAGCTGGATGACCAACAATTTCTTTCTTGTTAATCCTAACAAAACTGAGGTCCTACTGCTTGGACCCTAAGCAGAGATCTCAACTCTCCAAATTTGAACTAAATTTAGATGGCCATACGGTCATTCCAAGCACTACTGTAAAAAATCTAGGTGTCATCTTCGATTCCAGTCTCTGTTTTGATACACGCTCATGGGGGCTTGGACCCAGATTTTTCTGTAAAGCTGCTTTGTGACAACACCTGTTGTAAAAAGCGCTATATAAATAAACTTTGACTTGACTTGACAAGAAAAACATGTCAAGTGAACCATTTTGCAACATTAATAAATGTATT